GAGCTGGAGAAATGGCTCAGCGGTTAAGAACACTGGTTATTCTTGCAGAAGACCCGGGTTCGAATCCCAGCACCCACATGGCAGCTAACAACTGTCCGTAACTTCAGTTCCAAGGGATCCGACAGCCTATTCTGTCCTCCATGAGCATTGCACGACACGGATGTACTTACCTATATGCAGGCAATACGCTCATACACATAAAATAAAAATAATAGTTTTTAAAAAAATAAATGAAAAAAAAATGTTTAAGCTTCCAACAGATGCCCAACACCGATAGGCCCTCATTTTGGTCACCAAGGACAGAGGCATCTTTTACACAGTACTTCTGCATTCCAGGTGCTACCCTAAAACATGTACATGGCATATATATATATATATAAATATTTGTCACCAAAAATCCTCTAAGTTCACTATTATCCCCATTTTCCTGATGAGGAAACTGACGCATTCAGGGTTAAGTAACCTGCCCAAGGTCACAGTGACTATGGAACAGCTGAGATTCAAACACAGGCCACAGGACCCCTAAGCCTATTCTTAGTCTAGGATACTCATCTTACAGAAGTCTTAGTCCAAGGTCTGCAATTGCAGACTAGTTACATTCCCTATTAGCCTTGACTCCTATTCATTGCCCATTACAAAAGATTTGCAAAAATTATATCAGTAGGCAAGAATAAAGAACAGGCAGTCCTGATAAAATTCAAAGAACACTCCTCTGGCTCCAGATTGTTCCCAAGAAACTGTTAGAGTGTTGGTGTAGTAAGACTCTGTAGATTCAAAATGCCTCCCTTTCTCCGGACTCTACAGTGATAACAGAGGCAGAATTGCTGGAGGAGGCAATCTGTATAGTAACACATTCTATTGCCTGTGGGACCTGGGGGGTAGGGGTGGGGAGAGTGCTGGACATCACTGTTTCTGTGCCTTCTGGTTAATAAGGCAGTTTCTTTCAGGACCATAGTCTTTTCCTAGTAAGACGCTGGAGTCCCCTCTCCCACTCCCAGTTAGAGATAGGGATGTTCCTCAGGGTGACTTGGGCACCATTCTCCAGTTCCTAGACTCTACTACACCAACATTGGCTATAAGGATGTAAACTCCAGAAAGTCTCAGAAAAGCCAGCGCTGGGCACCCCTCCTTTTCTACAAGCCCTCCCTTACCATCTTCAGACTCTGAAGGGTAAAGTTTCAAGAGGGATGCGTTATCTGGGATGAGGTTGAGGCTGCTTTGTACCTACAAAGACAAAAGGGGGAAAGTGGGTCTTAAATCCCCCTTTAAACAAATAAACTGGGAATGGTTCTTTCCTGACGCCCAGCTCTGAAGCCCTCTCTAAAAGCTCCGACAACCTCTGAGGGGCATCCAGAAGTCCAGCTTGTAACGGATCAAAACTGCAGGACCCTCAATCCATCCCGTTTCCTAAGAAACTCAGGATGTAGGCTTAGGTCCCCCTTTTAACCACGTTGCTAGCCCGCAGCCATCTAGCTCACCCTAACACCTAAGGACCCGAGTCCTTTCTGAATCCCTGAGGACCCTCGCACCTCCCTAATAGTCTAGCTCTCCACGGACCTCCAGCCTCAAAATCCAGCAAGCCCCAAATTCCAGTCCGCAGGTCTTTCCAGACCCTCTCGGGCACCCTAGCCCCCTCAACCTCCCCCTACCCCATAACCCCAAGGGAACCCCGTACTTCCACCATCCCCAAAGCCCCCGCGCATACCCAACCTGCACACACCGGTCTCAGTGCTTCCGTTTGGCCCCCACGAGGCCAAGCCCAGCCCGCCAACCTCAGCACTCCCTAAAAACAGCCCTTCCCCGAACCAAGACCCGCTCGGGAGCCCCCGCCCTGCCCGGCGCGGCCGCCCTCCTGGGGGCCCTGGCTGCACCTTCCCGGAGTACACTGGAACCACCGGCGCCTCGTCCGGACCCAGCAGCCGCCGCCGCCGCCTGACCAGGGTGCGCCGGGCTTCGGCAGGCCCCCCGTCCGCCCCTTCGCTGTCACTGTCGCTGCCCAGCTGGGGTGCGGCGGGCACAAGCGGCCCCGCGGGCGGGACCTCAACCTGGGGCTGGACCTCTACCGGGTCCGCATCACTCCGCGCGGCGGCGACCTCCAGGATCTCCTCATCGCTGTCACTGACCAAGTCCACAAGCATTGTGTCTCGAATGAACCGGGATGGAGACTGCTGGGCGCGAGAACCCCTGCTATGGGCAGCCCGGGCCCTCCGAGCCCCTCGGCCACCCCCACCACCGCGGGACTTCGGACACCGTCTCCTAGCAGGTTCCGCCATAGTCCACTCGGCTTCCACAGTCACCGGCTTCTACTCCCTCGCCCGGCCCCACACTCGTGATTCTACCTGTCATTGGACAAACCGCATGTCAGTCAAAACTTCTTCCCGCCCACACACCCTGGATCCGCCTTCCTATCTTCTCATTGGTCAATTTACCCGCCCATCACACACCCTCCACTGAAACAAAGGCGCCAAAGATTCCAATCCCCTTGACGCAATCAAAGAAGGTTTCGATTCTGTACATTGGCTAAGCTTCCTCAGAACCAGCCCTCTTCCGGATCCGCCCATTTCAGACACCTAGCTCCAGGCTAGTGGAGGACTGGGGCATCCTGGGAATTGGAGTCCTCAAGCCCTGAGGTGCCAAGGGAAAGGTGGTGTGGGAAGAGTTCCGGGTGCTGCGGAACTAGGCCTGAGACTGCAGCTAGCCCCTGGTATCCTCAGCAGCTGTGTGGCATGAAGTCCATTCAACGCCACACGCTTTCATACGTATCACCGCAGACATCCTCTAATACGCAATGACAACACAGCATATGCCTTGGCACAGCGCAGTTAAACACCTTTAAGGGCAAGTACAAATTAAAAGATGAGTCTGGAGAGATGGAGCTTTAAGAGCACCGTCTGCGCCGGCCGTGGTAGCGCATACCTTTAATCCCAGCACTCGGGATGCAGAGGCAGGCGGATCTTTGTGAGGTCGAGGCCAGCCTGGTCTACATAGTGAGTTCTAGGACAGCTGGGGCTACAAGGAGACCCTGTCTCAAAAAGACAAAAAAAAAAAAAGCACTGTCTGCTCTTGCAGAGGACCCACACACACAGCAGTTAACAGCTGTCCATAACTGCAGTTCCGGGGGCATTGTTCGACACGAGTGCACTTACACACATGCAGGCAATACACTCACACAAATAAGTAAAAAATAGTAAATAAGCCGGGCGTGGTGGCTCGCCTTTAATCCCAGCACTCGGGAGGCAGAGGCAGGTGGATCTCTGTGAGGTCAAGACCAGCCTGGCCCACATAGTGAGTTCCAAAACAGCTGGGGCTGCAGGGAGACCCTGTCTCAAAAAGACCAAAATAATAATAATAATAATAATAATAATAATAATAAATAAATAAAATATTTTTAAATAAAATGATCAATTCTCCCTATTGCAAAGAAGGGAAGAGTCCTTGTGCCTCTCTCTCTGTTCTTTGAAATACAGATGCTCTTTGATTTACAATGGAGTTACCTCCTGCTAAAGCCCTTGCATTTAATACGCCTAGCCTAAGAACCTAGCAGATCCTCAACACTGCACAGTAGAGTTCCCAGGGTGACCAGGGCTGTTCGGAGTCTGTAAAATTCCCTAAATTGACCACACGGATACTGAGTCTCAGTACAAAGGAGCACTTTATTGGAGCCAACCGGTTGGGGACACAGACAGTCTTGGGAGCTGTACTGTGACCCTGAGCAGTGAAAACTCAGGCCTTTTAAGCAGAAAAAACACAAAAACCACAAAGCAGGGGATGTCCATAGAAACTACACACAGAATAACCAGGAAAGGATTGGAACAATCTAGGGCTGATTTCCAGAGATTTTACCTATACAGCCATTGGCTTTTTTACCTGGGGTAGAACGTTCTTTCTCTTCTGCCCCAGATTATTCCCATTGAAACCATGCACTGATGTATCAGGTATACTGCCATTGGCCAGCTTACCTGGGGCAGAACGTTCTATCTCTTCTGCCCCAGACCATTTCCATAGAAATCATAAACAGATACCAAGAAAGGGTTTGAACAATGAAGGGTATTT